TTTGAAACCATTCTGTTCTTGAGTGAATAGAAAAAATACCCCAGACTGTGTCTCCTACTGACTTCTTAGAATGCATTTATCTTAGATTGCTTCCTCTATGGTCACCAAAATGCACAATGGGACTTTACCCCACCAGACACAATTTTGCATCAGATTCTGTAGCAGATTCTCCAGTGGATACCAGCTGAGTATACTTTACTTCACTTAAATGCTGACAGTCTTCACCAGGACATAGTGTCACATCCTTCAGGTTGACGGCTCCACCATGCAAGACTGTCCCCAGTTCAGATGACCATGGCAAGTATAGCATGCAACTTGTGCTTATGAATAACCAGTTAAAAATTGGGGTTCACTTGACTGCCTCCTCAGGTTTTATTAATTCGCTAGAGTGGCTCATAGAACTTAGGAAAACATTTAATATACACTTACTTATTATAAAAGATATAAAAAAGGATACAGGTGAATAATCAAATGATAGAATCACAAAGCATAAGGTACAGGAGAAAGGGAATGGAGCTCCAGTTTCTATTCAGGCACATCACCCTCCAGGTTTAGCCATCTGGAAATTCTCTAGATCCAGTTCTTTTGGGTTTTATAGAATTTTTATTACATAGGCATAAATGATTAAATCATTGGCCATTGGTGATCAATTTAAACTTCAGTTCTTCTTCCTCTATGGATATTGGACAGTGAAATCAAAAGTCCTAAGAGTCCAGTTTATATGTTGGTCTATCTGGTGGCCTGACTCATTCTGAAACATCTAAGGGTTGCCAGTAACTATTCATCTCATTAACATTTTTGGAGTTTTGTCTCCAAAAATCTCATGCTGCAATTATCCTCCCCCACACCAATTTGCAGTGCTAGGGATGAAACCCAGAACCCGTGCATGCTAGTCAAAGTGCTCTACCACTGAACTACACTCCAGCCCATACCAAGAGTTTCAGGAGCTATATATCAGGAATAGAGCAAGTCAGAAAAAAATATATAATCACCATAAATTATAATGTCACATTAAGATGCCAAAATCTTTTTTTTAAATGTTGATCTTTTATTCCTGAGTTTAGATAGTGAGAGTTCAGACAAGAATGATTAAAATAAACACCTGTATATTTGTGTATATGCGCATGTGCCATGTGTGTCCTTGTGTGTGTACATAAGAAAATCTAGAAATAAAACAAGAATTGAATCTTCAGATTGGCAGGACACACTGAGTACAAATAACAAGAAGCCATAAAAATCAGAGTAAGTGGTGGCAGGTCCTAGAAGAATTGATTAGCTTCACACAGGAAGCAAGGACTCTTTTGTATCTAGACAGAGATCAAATCTCCAATAATAGAAAACAGAACAAGGATTTAATTAGATTTCTTCAGAGCAGCATTCAATTCTTGAAGACAATGAAACAATTCTTATAAAGTCTTTAAGATAAAAGTCTACCACTCCTTGTCAATTTCATATAAAGAAAAGAATAATCTAATATGTAAAACCTCAAGAAATTTAGTTTCTGTGAGCCCTTCATGAAGAAGTTACTAGAGAAAACCTTGAAACCAATCAAAAAATAAAGGAATAATACTGGCTATATGCATAGATTTAATTAACTACAGGACCAAATAAGAAAATTGAAAAGAGATGGGGAAGAAGATATATTCACATTTTGATAATCACCTGTTTTGTTAAACAGTATTTATAAGGTAGTAAGTGTAAAATTTAGGATGCTAACCCATCATAACCCAATAAAAATTCAAGCTTTTAGATTGTCACCTCACACATCAAAGTAAAGCAAGCTATGTAGCAAAACCTGTACAAACAAAATTCTTTAAAACCAGAATGCGTAAATAAAATATTACAGAACTAAGAGCAAATATCATTTATATTAATACATGAAATGCATTCAATTCACTGATTGTCTTACTTTGGTTCTCTGGAAGCAGAGGCAGATAAAATCAAGTGATTTCTTGAAAGGAAGTGCCTCTGAAGAAGACTGAGTAAGTCAGGAGTGGGTAAGGATTAAAATATTAAACAAATATAGTCTCAGCAGAGCACAATTTTAATTTACTTCCAAAGAGAAGTCATGGGACAAAAATTACATCCCAGAATTAGTTCCCTTTTGAAGCAAATAGCCTTTTATACCCTGGATCACCACTCTTTGGATGAGGTCTGCTCACTGAAGAGGAAGTGGGGCTGGGTGGGATCATTTATAGTTTGACAGGTGAAGTTGTTTTATCTGAGAGCAGTTCTCCAATGAATTACACATCTGTGAATCATTGTTAGGTAACATTGGAGGCATCTGGGGGATGGGTGCCACTGCTGGAAAAAGAATAAGATGTCTGTCATTCCTACTACAGGTTATCTTTCCTTCTACCTGGCTGTACTTGCTTTTTAATGTTAAGTATACTTCATATAAGCACAGTTTGTCCAGGATCCTTCTTGGTCACTCTTTCCAGAAAAATCTATGAGGGAAGTCTAGTGGGTTGAACTACATAGCACCAAATGTTACAGGTAGTTCTAAGGTTATAATTGATTCTTGTCAGTTCCTATCTCCACCACCCATATTGCATGGTAGCCATAAAATCTGGAAGAAAAATAAGACTCTCTCTCCCTCCCCACCCCTCTCTCTCTCTCCCATCACCTTGTTTACTTCTGTAATAAGAGTACATTATTTTTCCTTTAGTTCAAAATCAGTGAGGTAGCTTGTGAACGTCTAGAGCGTTCGGGTCCCTGGGTAAGGGTCGCGAAATAACCAGGACACAGGGGATGCAGAGCAAAGGCAGCAATTGCAACTGCATGCTGAGGTTTATTTGCAAGTTCCTTTTATCTACTTCTTCCAACAAAGCAAGCAATTCTTCAATATCACGTTACCCACATTGCCCAAATATCATGCCTCAGCGGATACACAGAGCTAAATTCAAATCGTTCCTGTTTATTTGATAAGTACCCTCCTAAAGTTCTTTGTAGACATTATCTAATCCCCTGAGGATGCATTTGTTTCTTCAGAATGTACTGTTCCCAGGATAAGTATGCAGGAAGCTTCTTCCTCTTGGCCAAACCATGCAGAACTGTGACTTGCGATAAGGGGAAGAGAACTTTTCCTCCTCCTAACTGAGGTTTGCCTCAGCTGACCTAAATCACAACCACAGCTCTTGCAAAATGTCAGGCCTGAGGGAGCTATACTCTGCACACTCAAACCCCAACAGTAGCTCATCACAGTGACATCTACAGAGATTGGTAGAAATTTTGCATGTTTAACAAGTAAAAGCTCATGTATTACATTGTCAATAAAATTTTATCTTTGTCATGATTCAATTGTTTTTTAATTTATTATTTATTCTAATTTGTTATATATGACCACAGAATGCATTTTACATATTCCCATATACAGCACAATTTTTCATATCTCTAGTTGTATACAAAGCAGAGTCAAAGTTTTTGTGTCTGATTCTACTGTTTAGGGTCATTCCTGTGGAATTCTCCTCCCCATAACTAGCAATTGGGGTGAATTTGCTAAACCCTTATCCCTAAGGTTTCTGAGTTCATGCCTTTGTCTGGACAAGGCTACTGTACTTGTCCATTTACAGTTACAGTTCAGCACAAGAGTATGAAGGGACACTCTAGGGAGACATCTGAATTCCACATGTGTTCCTCACCAGCTCTTCTTCACTGCCTCATAATTATCAATGTCAATCATCTGCCCCTGCCTGAGGAGTGATTCCCTTTTTGCCTGCTGTTCTCTATGTATATTATCTATAAAGTAATTCTTGTTATATTTCTTGGTGGAAGCATTTCTCATGTGGAATCCAGGACTTTTAAACCCACAGAGTCTAAACTTCTGGAAAGAAAGAAAAAATTTAGGCTAAGGATGACAAAGCCATTTCTACTTCCATACCCTGATTTCAGGAACAACATATTCTACTGCTTGAGACATGCTACCACATAATGGCCACTGGTTTAAAATATATGCCATACACTGAAGGATAATGTACCATTCATTAGGGTGTCATCTCCAATTTGGCATCTCAGCTGTACTTTCAGAAAGGTGTTTCATCATTCCATGAAGCTGGGTGGGTTCTGGAAAGATGTGCTAAGTGGTACAACCAATATATGGCAAAACCACCATCCCATGTTCATAGAATATCACATGATTTTTTTACTAAAATGAATAAATAAATAAATCCCTTAGTCTTCTCAGGTAATTCTACACCAGATCCTATCTTGGTACATTAGATGTTTTGCAATCCCTTAGATAGTAGTGCTGGCTGAAATATTAGAGACAATAAAAGAAAATTTATACCTTGAACATAAGTGAATTCCAGTCAATATGAGTCAATGCCCTTTTTAGAATTGATGGGTGTGATATGATCCACCTCCCACCAGGTGTCTAGTAGGTCTTGTGGAAGGATTTTGCTATATTGGTAACTCAGAATTGTTGACTTTGAGGGCAGATCAGACATTCAGCTGCAGAAATAGCTAGGTCAGCTTGAGTGACAGGAAGTAGAGACAGTAAGAGGAAGTCCATGCTATTGGCATAGTCTCTACCTCTGCAACTGTGTTTTTTTCTCAAAAGCCCCTTAATGGGCTGGCATCACTAAGGTCAGAGGAGAGCTGAGCTGGAATTTCCTGGTCAAGATATCCTAACCACTTTGTTTTTGTAGTGCCTCTTTGAAATGAATTTCCTTTGCTTGACAACCACATGTGATTAAATACAGCCTCATAGTTTGTTCCAACTCCCATACATGTCTCTTTGTGTACTTGGTTCGTCAATCTTGTTCATTCCAGGATTCTGGCTAACTGGTTAAACATTTCCAATATGCAAGAGTCAATGTAATTTTTTTCCTTGGGCCACTTCTGTCTGTACACAAATAGGATGACTGGAAGTGCTGATTCTTTCATGTGTACTCTAGAAGTGGGCTGAAGATTAGCAGTGGGATATCGATGCAATTTTCAACTTGCTCCCTCCTGATAACCAAATTGTGTAATTGTGCTTTTTCTTTTTTCTCCTCTATCAGCTAGCAATAAGAAACCTCCATGAAGCTATAGATAAGTTGTGCCAAGGATTAGGTATCAGAACAAAGGAGGTAAGTATCATGAGAGTCTTGGTCATTTATTTATTCTATTAACCTTGACCTTGGACATTTTTGGACCTCATAGATCCTACTTTTATTTTACCATGAGATCATTCTGGGTCTGTCTGACTAAAAGATGGATCTAATAGTACTTGTTCTTAATAGGATCTTCTGGCCACATAGTCATTTGATATTCAGCGGTTAGAGGTATTTTTTCTATTAGCACCAAATATAATATGCTAAGAGATGTTACTCTGTTAAAAATATTGTGACCTTGTCTAAAGCAAAGGATCTGCATGAAAACTCTCCTATTATGGTTCACTCTTTATTCAAGATAGCTGATGTGGTATGGTATATGCATGGTCATATTGCCAAAGAAGAGGGTAGCTTGATCACAGCTGGGACCTGCTATAAACCTCTTCTTGCCCTGGGGCTGGTTAAAAACTAGATTTATCAAAATTCCCAGTTTTTGAATATGTTTCTTCCAAAATCCAGGGAGGCAGAGTGATCATTGTACAATTTTTTTCCTTAATGGTGGATGGTAGAAGTTGAAGTAACTTGTTATTTTGTAGGAGGGTTCTGAGCATGCTCCAGCACTGGTATTGTGGTTTGGATGTGAGGTGTTTCCTAAAAGCTCATGTGTGAGACAATGCAAGAAGGTTCAGAGGATAAATGTTGGGTTATAAGATTCTTAACCTAATCAGTGATTATTAATATTATTAATCCCCTAATAGGGATTAACTGAGTGGCAGGGTAAAACTGGAGGAGGTAGGAATTTTGGCATGGCTTTGGGGTATATATTTGTATCTGGCAAGTGGAGACCTTTCTCTCTGCTTCCTGATCATTACATAAGCTGCTTCCCTTTGCCACACTCTTCTACCATGTAGTTCCTGAATCAACTGGAGCCCTAAGAAATGGAGCCCACTATATATGAATTGAGACCTCTGAAACCATGAGCTCTCAAATAAACTCTTCTTCTTCTACAGTTGTGCTGCTCAGGTCATTTAGTAACAGCAGTGAAATAACTGACTAAAACAACTGGTTTCTGAAAACCACTGTCAGTATAAGCATAGGACTTTTCCTTCTGCTGTTCTACTTTCCCCTTCTTCTTTACATTAGATTCCAACTATGTGGTGCTACCAAATCCTTAATATTTCAGTAAAATTACCTGCTTTAGGCATTTCTTGAAGTGAGTAATTTCTGATTAATCTTCCTATATAGGGTCTCAAAATATTAGGCATTTTCCTTTGTAGCAATTGTCACACTTTCAAATTTACATTTTTGGGGGTGTGGTTATTGTTTCTCTGACCCACTATATTATATGTCCTTTTCCCCTTCTTAATTGTTCAAAGCATATGTTAGACTTTAAATAATAGTTTAAAAAGAAGTGTTACATGAAGTATAGAGAAAGAAAAATTCTTATCACATTTGGTTTTCCTTAATTACACATTACAATAAATTTCTTTTTGCTGGGTGTAGTGGTGCATACCTGTAATTCCAATGGCTTGGGAGGCCAAGGTAGAAGGACCTCAAGTTCAAAGCCAGCCTCAGCAAGGGCAAGGCACTAAGCAATGCAGGGAGACTCCATCTCTAAATAAAATACAAAATCAGGCTGGGGATATGGCTCAGTGGTTGAGTGCCCCTGAGTTCAATCCCTGATACCTAAAAATAAATAAAATAAATTAAAAATATTTTTAAAGTAAATATCTATTGTCCTAATAAGGACTCTTAACTCTAGACTGGGTTTAGCTTGAGTCAGTTTGCTTAGTGACAAAAATATTATACATACATGTAAAAATAAAAGATATGCCTGTAAACTCAGTGAGTGTGACTTCAGGAGACTGAGGCAGGAGGATAGCAAGTTCCCAGCCTCATTAGCAATGTAGGGAGATCCTCATCAAGGTAGCAAGATCCTGTCTCAAAAATAAATAATAAATGAAAAGGACTGGGGTTGCATCTCAGTGGTGAACTGCCTCTCAGACCACTCCTAAGTACAGCAAAAGCCAAAAAAAAAAAAGGGGGGGGGACATAAAACCTTATAATATAAATTTTAAATTCCTGATCTGTTGCAGATAAACTATAGAAAAGTGAAAAGGAAATTCAATCCCCTTGGGCAAAATTCTGACAAATTATGTGGTGGATAAGCAGACGGAAATGAGCTCTCCTTTCAGCATAAACCCATGAAAGCACCGGAGACCAAACTAAGTCTACTGGGATTATGGCGCCCTCGTGTGGTCTTAAGGGAGGAAACATTTTAAATACAAATACTATTCATTTTCCGGTGAAAATAAGGAAGGCTAAGCTTAGAGGCCCTCAGCTCCCTGTCATTAGTTCTGAATTGGCAATTTAAAATTCTTTTTCTTAAGGATGGCTTTCTAAACTTCAGCAAGCTTTAAGCTTCAAACAACCTGGACCTATCTCATGGCTTGTCACTATTACCTTCTTTAAAACAGCACATGTAGGAGACCTTGCTAAGGACGCCGAGATCAGAGCCATGCACCTTTTTTGCAATTCAAGAACCATGGTCAACAAGGCTTCCAAATTCTTGAAGTCTAGATGATTAATCTTCACAAAATTATATTAGTCTTTACAAACTCAGAACTCAGATGAAAATAAAAGGCACCCTATAGAGTATCTCATTTAAGGATTAGGAAATATGATATTTATAAACGTTTCTATAACTTCTATAAACTTTCTACACTTTGCAGAAATAAGAAATGATTACCTGAATTACAAAGTCCACAAAGAATCTGAATGACTCATTTTCTTCACCAGGGCAGAGAAACTATATATAGAGGTAATTTGTTATGGATATTTGTAAGACCCCAGAATTTCAAAATCATATGTCAAAAGACAAATATTTGTCTTTTTAAAATATGTCTTATCCAAGAAGTCTCCTGGTATGAGAGTCCAAATTTCTTCCAGATGTCTCCCATTTCACAGCCTTCTGTGAATAAATGTGCTTTCAGTAGCTGAGCACAGTTTTGTAGTTCAAACTTCTTTCCTGTGGAAGTTTAATGGTTGCCTGAACTTCTGAAGATAACATGGATGCAGGTTGTTGGAATTTATTCATTAATTCATATTGCAAATGCCTGCTCTGAGATTTCAATTCTCAGCTGCTCTCACCCTATTGCTTCTTGTGATTTCTGAACTCTATCCACACAGCACTTTAACTTCCCAAGATGCATGCATTGACTTTCTCTTTTAAGTACCAACGTGTCATAATTCTTTGATTAACAGTTTGGGGCAAATTAACAATGGGATATAAAAAACCCACAGAAATAAAAGTGTCTTTATAATATACATCATCTTTCCTAAAATCCTTGGCATTACCTCAGACATACATAGCTTCTTATTCTTGTTTCCTTAATAACTTCATTTTATGTTTTATATAATTTCTGCTTCAACTGCCTAGGAGAAGAATTTGTCAATTACATTTTCTATTTCATTAATTTATTGCTGAGTTGTATATACTTGCCTATTTAATACTGTCATTTAGGATAGTATATATTCAAGCAGTATGTATTATAGAAATATTTAAGAATGCAATAGGAACCCCCAAATCACTATTTGAAACAAAGATCAGAAAACTGGCAATAATTCTCATCCAATCACATGCATACATTTCTACCATTTCTCTATCATCCACTGAGGTAAACTATGCTTGTAATTTCCTTGATTACCATAATTTTATTGGTATGAATTTAATGTATTTGTAATAAACATACATTTATGAAAAGTTATCATGCTATATGTTATTGTGGACTTTTTAAATAGTCTTACTATGTTTAATAGGATCTCACCACATCAGTTGTAAAGTTACTTTTAAAATTAATGTTAGATTTCCATTCACTTAGTATTTTGTTATTTATTTTATCTAATATACTTATTTTAGAAAATTATACAACATAAAACCAAAAAAACATATTTTAATCATTCTGTGAGCTATGAAAAATGAAATGAGTTGTATAACTATCACCACAAAAATTTACAGGTTAGGCCCCTTATTGCCCCCAATTCCTTTATATTATTTAATTTTGATGAAATTTATCCCTAGTCTTCACTTCTGGCAACCATCTATTTGTTCTCCATCCTTATAGTTTTTCTCTCTCCATCTTTCATTAGTGTAATCATGAAGTATCTAACTTTTAACTGTTTACCTTTTCTTCAAATAATTCATTTGACAGCCACTCTAGTTATTGTATCACTAATTATTTTCTTTTTATTCCTGATCCATCATATGTGTATCATTTGTTTGTTTCCATTTAGCAATCAAAGAACTTTTGATTTATTTCCAGTTTGGGGCCTTATGAACATAGCTGCTGAAAACATATGTATTTTTTGGGATTCTAAGTTTTCTTTACCTAAAATTAATATATAGAATAGTATCACATATTCTAATTATAAATGTATGTATAATTTTGTAAGAAATTATCAAAATATTTTCCAGAATGACTGTACCATTTTGCATTCTTATTAGCAATTATAAGTAATCCAGTCTTCAACTATTTTAAACATAATATTATAAATTAAACTATAATAATTTTTTTCATATTTAGTCTATATTGTTTTATGCTGTGTACAGAAATCACACACTAGATACAGCATTGAGTGAATATAAAAGCATATGAATCAACTGTGGTATTTCAACAATTTTCTACTTTTAAGCTTATCATTATAAGTCTGCCATGTTGTGCTGCTCTAAATGGACCATCTACATCATGTTCTACAGAGTTTTGTCCCGATCATAATTTTTAGCTCTTCAATGGATGCACACAATGAGCAGAATCATTATTCAACCATGTTTTAATTTTTCATTACCATTTTACCATAGGGCAGTATCAAATCAGGTAATATAATTAAAAAAATAATTTCTACAAGTTATTTTAGAAAACTTTTCAACAGCATGATTTTTTTTACCAAAGTGTGTTTACTAAAAATTCAATGGTAAATGATGTTAATCTGTTTAGCTTGGGGTATTTAGTGTAAGGGAAAAGGTTTAGTTAACTATA